CACTATTGTACGTTCAAAGAGTTAAATCCATTTACACGCCGGGTGGCGGTAATATTTTTTGGGTGATTAGTGCATTCCAGTGACATAAACGTACAGTTTCCAGCCAACGGCAAGCTGCAATTGACCGATTGTGCTAAATAAACTGACTTTCTGCTTCACAACCACTATTGTACGTTCAAAGAGTTAGATCCATTTACACGCCGGGTGGCGGTAATATTTTTTTGGGTGATTAGTGCATTCCAGTGACATAAACGTACAGTTTCCAGCCAACGGCAAGCTGCAATTGACCGATTGTGCTAAATAAACTGACTTTCTGCTTCACAACCACTATTGTACGTTCAAAGAGTTAAATCCATTTACACGCCGGCTGGCGGTAATATTTTTTGGGTGATTAGTGCATTCCAGTGACATAAACGTACAGTTTCCAGCCAACGGCAAGCTGCAATTGACCGATTGTGCTAAATAAACTGACTTTCTGCTTCACAACCACTATTGTACGTTCAAAGAGTTAAATCCATTTACACGCCGGGTGGTGGCGGTAATATTTTTTGGGTGATTAGTGCATTCCAGTGACATAAACGTACAGTTTCCAGCCAACGGCAAGCTGCAATTGACCGATTGTGCTAAATAAACTGACTTTCTGCTTCACAACCACTATTGTACGTTCAAAGAGTTAAATCCATTTACACGCCGGGTGGCGGTAATATTTTTTGGGTGATTAGTGCATTCCAGTGACATAAACGTACAGTTTCCAGCCAACGGCAAGCTGCAATTGACCGATTGTGCTAAATAAACTGACTTTCTGCTTCACAACCACTATTGTACGTTCAAAGAGTTAAATCCATTTACACGCCGGCTGGCGGTAATATTTTTTGGGTGATTAGTGCATTCCAGTGACATAAACGTACAGTTTCCAGCCAACGGCAAGCTGCAATTGACCGATTGTGTAAATAAACTGACTTTCTGCTTCACAACCACTATTGTACGTTCAAAGAGTTAAATCCATATACACGCCGGGTGGCGGTAATATTTTTTGGGTGATTAGTGCATTCCAGTGACATAAACGTACAGTTTACAGCCAACGGCAAGCTGCAATTGACCGATTGTGCTAAATAAACTGACTTTCTGCTTCACAACCACTATTGTACGTTCAAAGAGTTAAATCCGGTTTTATTTTTGGGGTGCTTATTGAATTAAAGAGTATGTCAGACAACACGCAGAGGAGTGGCAGAGGAGGCAATGTTTCAGGAGCGAGCAGACGTGGCAGCAGAGGAAGGGGTCGAGGCAGCACTAGTCGCAGCCAGAGGCCAGTGCTCCCGGTGTCATCCAGCGGTCGTGTCTCCACCGACAACCCTGCCGTCATCGATTGGTTGACTCGGTCGTCTTCCTCTTCCCAGGTCACCTCTGACACCTACAGCCAACGGTCGGTGGGTACGTCAGACACAACCGTTAGTTGGCATGGCCCGGGAGCAAGCCCACTGAAATCACGTGTCCTCGACCTGCCCCTGTCCTTTGGTGTTCCCTCACCAAGCGAAGTATCGCATGCTGTGGGCTCAGCCCCACTGTACAGTGAGGAAGAGCTAACAGAGGGCGGTCAGGAACGGGGGGAGACATCCGCCTCTTCAGCAGCCAGGCGAAGAAGTACTGGCGAGGAGAGTGGCTCGGTAGCCGGTCTAGAGACAGGTCTGTCTCCTGACCCACACGCAGCCGAGGGGGCTAGTAGTGACGCGGAGACCCTAATTGATGATGATGAGGCTGATCGCACTTGGCAGCCTCGTCGTCATCAGGCTATTGCTTCCGCATCATCAGGAGAAGAGGGTGCCAGCTTGCCAGCGAGCAAAACAGTCGGTGGGTTGCCCAGGAGGCAGCAGGGTCGCAGCAGTGTCAGTGGAGCCAAACGGCCACGGAGTAGAGCACCAGCTCCACTGCAGCCTACCACCACGGCCAGTAGTGGTGCCGGTGTGCACGGAGGAAGTAGCAGTCAGCCAGTGAGGAGTAGCGGGGGCAAAGTTTCCTACTCGGCGGTGTGGCAATTTTTCGTCAAGCCGCCCGAGGAAGTAAACGTAGTAGCCGTATGTGCGACTATGTGGCCAGAAAGTCAAGCGTGGCCAGGGGGCCAATGTTGGGACTACAGCGTTGCGTCAGCATATGCAGCGTCGCCATTCGGTGGCCTGGGAAAACCGTGATAAAGATACGGCGGTTCTGCCTGCCCCAGCCCCCGCTCCATCACCCGCTCCGTTACTTGCTCCGTCACCCGACGTCAATCGCCCTCTATCAGCCAGTCAAGGCTCCAACACCTCTGCTGAGGGGAGTTGTCGCTCGTTGGCATCTTCCGCTCGTTCAGATGCTCCTTCTCCTGCTACTCCTCTTCACGGATTCCGTCAGCAGTCTTTCTTGGAATCCGTTTCCAAGAGACAACAGTTTGCGAGCACGCACCCGACGTGTGCAGAAGCTGAACGTCCTCCTGTCCAAGTTGCTGGTGCTGCAGTCCCTCCCTTTCCAAGTGGTGGACTCAGCACCTTTCCGAGAAATGATGGCTTGTGCCGAGCCGCGGTGGAGAGTGCCAAGCCGATTTCTTCGCCAAAAAGGCAGTGCCAGCCCTGCATTCACATGTAGAAGAGATGGTGGGCCAGTCTTTGAGCATGTCGGTCTCTGCCAAAGTGCACGGCAGCGCCGACGTGTGGAGCTGTAACTACGGTCAGGGACAGTACATGTCATTTACGGCCCACTGGGTGAACGTGGTGCCGGCACAGCCGCACCAGCAACTTGGACAGGTCACGCCGCTTTTGCCTCCACGTTTGCACGTCCTTGGTCCAGCAAAGATGTCCGCCTCTACCACCTCTTCTTCCGCCGTGTCCTCAGCCGCCACCCCCGTGCCAAGTCCCATTACCCGACCGGCATATCACATGTGCAGGGCGCAACGGTGTCACGCTGTGCTGCACCTGGTATGCCTTGGCGAACGTAGTCACACAGGGGAGGAACTTCTGAGTGTAATGAACAGAGAAATCGACAGATGGCTGTCTCCGCGCAAACTGAAAATCGGAACCATGTTGACCGACAACGGAAAGAACATGGTGTCTGCTCTGCGTCAAGGAAGGTTGTGCCATGCGCCATGCATGGCTCACGTGTTCAATCTGGTTGTCAAGCGGTTCCTAAAATCCACCATCCCACTGCAAGACATCCTTAAAATGTCACGTAAACTTTGCATGCATTTCAGCCATTCCTACACCGCAAAGCACACCCTCCTTGAGCTGCAGCGGCAGAACGGAATTCCACAGCATCGCCTGATCTGCGACGTTGCAACAAGGTGGAATTCAACCCTACATATGTTAGACCGCCTTTACGAACAGCGAAAGGCCATCACCGATTTCCTGATGTTACAAGCGGATAAAGGTACTCCCCTGTGTAACTTAGATGTCAGCCATTGGCAGCTCATGCGTGACACCTGCCGCTTGCTCAGGCCCTTTGAGGAGGCCACGCTATTCGTGAGTCGGCAGGACTATGGGATGAACGACGTCATTCCTCTGTTGCACGTCCTGGAACAAATGCTGTTAACAATGGCTGGTCAGGGTGCGGTAGACGTGGCGCACAGATCTCAACGCCACATGACCCCTGTGGGGGCAGGACAGGAAGAAGAGGAGGAGGTAGAGGAGGACATTGGTGCTCAGGAATTATTGAGTGAAATGGGTGGTTTTTCCACTCAGCGGACAGGAGTGGAGGAGCAGGAGCATCTGGTAGAGGAGGAGGAGGAGACAGAGGACCCAGACGCACCGTTGCAGTATGCTGTGGAGATGGAGGCAGGGAATCCCTCGCATTCCTTGGCACAAATGGCCAACAATGTCTCCTCACACTGCTGGTGGGTTTCATTTTGTCATAGGGTGCTGTATGGCCTCCCATTGCTGCTGCCTCCACCGCCACACTGTGGCTCCACACTCTGGTTTTGGCCCCGTGATCGACGGCACTCATCTGACTGCCCAAATGAGTGAAGTGTGCGGTGATTCTAAGATCGACGGCACTCATCTGCATGTCATACTGACTGACAGTATTATTTCTAAAGGTACAGTGTTCTGCACTAATATAAAGGCTCTCTGAAGCCTAGAAAACACCCAATTGTTTTATGTTTTTATATGTGGTTTCTTCATTGTAAAGACTACCATTCGCAGCGAAGGTATATTCGAGCAGCAATCGCACCAATTAGCGAATTTATTCTCGCGAATTCGGCAAATCAGCCGAACCAAATTTTTTGAATAATTCGCTCATCTCTAGTCCTTATTTAGGGACATCCTGCTATAGAGAATGACATTCTCAGTGTCTATTTCCCTATTGTGTACACCCCCTTGCTGTCTCCAAAGAATAAGAAGAGTCGACTGCTTCCAAAAATGGGAAATATAGGTGACCATTTGTTTGGGTACACATTAAGCAGCCATAGAACACCTGCCTTGTCAGGGTCCCACTACAGGGAAAAAAAAAACAAGAAAACCAGTAGGCTTGGGAGACGTTTTATGCATAAAAAATGCTAATTGTTTACACAGATTTCTTTAGCAAACTAAAAGTCATTCAGTTGGGGGTTTACATTTCACGTTTTTTATGTGATGTAAACTGATAACTGCTTGGGAGTGGAAGAACAATACATATATATAAAGACAACTGTCTATTGCTTACATGAAAAAAAAACATATACAGTATAATGTGTGTGTGTGTGTGCAAAGTAAAAGAGTAATGTATTTTCTTACTATAAAACAAAATTAAATATTATACATTGTGAGTTCCACAATAGGCACAATAATGCTTTAACATGGTCACGTAGTTGTCCTTTGAAATCTATTATTTCATAGTATCACCTTTTTCATGATATTGTAATGTTTATTACTTACTAATAATTTATTTTTTATCTATAAAAAACATTTCATACCAATATTATTAATTAGTTTATCAATTATTAAAGAGAGGTTAGTGCAAACAAAAAGCTACTAGTACATAATTTTTATATGTATTTTCAGGCAGCCATGTGTTATGTTCACATTGCCGCATTGATTGCTGAATACTTGAAACGGAAAGGTAAGAACTATCTGGGTGAGAATATCAAGTTATATTACTGTTACTTCTCTTTTTATTTTGCTCAAATTCATGACTAGAAATTACAGTAGTGTCATCATTCAGAGCTGTACAAAACATAGGTGACAGATAAAAAAGAGAGTGAGTAGTTTTTTCAGTTTGTTAAATTGCACCTGCAGCCAAAACTTTTTTTTTATGCTGGATACAAAAGGACCAAAAATTAGCCTAAAATGTTAAGTTCGATAGGAATCGGTTGACTTTTGACCTATGTGTACAGCTGTCTGTCGAATGGGCATGCAGAAAACCAGCATTTGATCAACCAGCTCTGTATACTCAACTACTCTATCCAACATAAAAAAAACGTTTGGGGTTTAGTTCTACTTTCATATGTATAAACGTATGTTGCACTTACAAGGTCCAATGAAAAATGGGCATGTAAAGATAACAGCCTGCCAAACAGCCTGAAAGAGATTTGAATACTGCTGTCTTTAATGCAGTTGCACAAGGAGGGTGGAGGGGGTGAACATGCTGAGAGATACTTACTGGCAGGAGTATTCAAAGAACAACTGCCATCACACTAAATCTGGCCGTATGCTGATCAAATTTAGTTCACTGTGTTTCAGTCCCTACTCAACAGAAGTGGATCATGTGATTCACTTCTGTCAAAGGACAAATTTTCCACAATCAGTGCCTGCAGCCGACCAGCTGTAAATTATTATATTATTATTGATAGACTATGGGGGTTATTTACTAAAACTGGAGTGCAAAATCTGGTGCAGCTCTGCATAAAAACCAATCACCTGTTTTTTTGTCAAAGCTTAATTGAACAAGCTGAAGTTAGAAGCTGATTGGCTACCATGCACAGCTGCACCAGATTCTGAGTGCTCCAGCTTTAGTAAACCAACCCAACTGTGTGACCACTCTCTTTTATTTCCCTATTTTTCCCTGTCCATAATATTTGTTTCTGCCCCATCATTCTGATTTATTGTATTATTTAAGCAACCAGGGAGCATCAAGGCACCAAAGCTACTGATAGAGAGGGGATCATGTTTTAACATTTTTATTAGACTAAGCACTTCATTAGCTTGTAGAAGGATCTTCACAATTGTTTCTTATAAACAATAAAACTAACACAATCCTACAATCATATTTAACAGTCCAGGTATCATGTATCCCATATTGCCACTAACCTTTAACCTTCAGACTTTTTTTAATTCAACTACTCATCAACCCTTTATGCATTTGGTGCGTCTATTCAGCTGTGACTTTGTACCTCTTGCATAACTCCTAAACGTTCTAAAATATGGTCCTTCTTAGCCCTCACACCTTCTTAGTCCCATCATCATGTTCCTCACTGCACTTCCACATTTATTGTTACAGCAACTGTAGCGTTATGCAAATTATGTATATCATGTAAAAAAGGGCTTGCTGTGATTCTGAAATTGTATTGGTCCTAAGATAAAAGGCAATTGTTACAATGTTTAAGTAAGTTTTTTCTTGCCAATGCCATTGAGATCTATCAACTGTGGTTCACATTGCCAAAACAATTGTCAGGCCATTCTCTTCTTCTTGATAATTCTTGCTACATCTATCTATATGAACACAGTAACCCAAATCCCCCCCCCCATTATAAAATATATTGGGGGAGATTTACTAAAATTGGGGCACACAGAATCTGGTGCAGCTGTGCATGGTAGACAATCAGCTTCTAACTTCATCTTGCTCAATTAAGCTTTGACAATAGAACCTGGAAGCTGTTTGGTATCTATGCAGAGCTGCACCAGATTTTGCACTCTCCAGTTTTATTAAATCTTCCCCATTGCATTATTATTAGAAGCAATGCATAAAGAATCACTTACATGGCCACATATTGCAGTTCTGCATTGTAATTTTGGGGTGATTTACTAAAGGGGTATCTTTAGTTTACCTAACATTTGCTATCATGTGTAGAGGAATTTAAAAAATGTGTTCCTTCTCCCACACACAATTGGATGTTAAGCCACATGCACACTTGAGCTAAAAAGGCTCTTGACTTTTTTTCTTCTGCCTCTAAACTCCACTCCATGGTAGCCTATGTGTCCATGCACGCATAGGCATTTACTGGAGATTAGAGTCAGGGGCATTTAGAGGCAAAACAAATAATTGGTGCATTCAAGTGCCTAAGTGCAGGTTTAGCACTTGAGTATTTTTCATTTTAATGGCCAGAATAAATTAATATTCTGGCCAATGAAATACATAAACACCCAATTGCTTGACGTGCCTAAACACTTTTTCAAAAACGTGGCTTAGGCATGTTCATGAAGCCTAAGAAACACAAATTCAGTAGACAAAGTGAAACATTACTATTAGACACAAATGTAGAGTTTTTACCATAGCCCATTTCAATAATCATTCCATGCATTCACTAACAATGTTGTATGATATCTTCACTCAATAATTATTAACTACCATAGGTTACTGGAAAAATGAAACCAATCAGACAACAAGCATGCTGCTGGAAGAGGAACATTCTTCTGATTCTAATCAATTACTAATCTCCATGGGTGCAAAGAGTGAGTTCACTAACCCTGCATGTGACATGTTCATCCTTTCATCAGCTCATCATTTTTAATTTGTGGCTCTAAGGTGAAGGAAATTGATATACTAGAGAGCTTAGACAGCTTGTTCCATGTTGGTTACTCAGAAAACCAGACAGTGAAAGCTTTCAGAAAGAGATTATGAATGGAAGCCTTCACACAGGTTTACTTTATTATCACATAAATGTGTAACTGTGGGAACATGAAAAACGAGGAGGCTATGTCAGCATAACAAGGTCTGTTTTCCTATACCAGGTGTCTCCAAATTGTGGCCCACAGGTTGGATGTGGCCCTTTGCTTGTCTTTATCTGGCCCTTGGGGCACTTTTCATTCCACTGATATGAGGCACTATACCTCCCACTGACACCAATGATGGGGTTCTATTCTTCTTACTGACGCCATAGATGGGGAGCTAAAACTCCCACTGACAATGATGGGGCACTATTTCTCTTTTTTTTTAATCCCACTGATCACCAAGCCTTTGACATTGTTTGCTCCCACTCCCATTTGAAGTGCAGTAAATTAGCCCTTTGTTTTGACAGTTTGGGGACCCCTGTCCTAAACCATAGCACTCCATCTTCAGTGGGCTGTTTGATTATGAATGGAGTCCACTGGCTTTTTCAGCTTGCCTTATGTATGAAGATCATTTACAGCCAACAGGACAGGAAGTGTCTGTGTGCAGAAGAATACCTTTTAGAAATGTATCTTAACTTATAAATCAGAGTATATCGGGATAGTTGCCTTTGTATGGTTAATGTATACTTTCAGGTTAATAGATATAAGTTTGGAAGCAACAGTCAGTCCATTTAACTTGCAGGTTTGTTCTCCATGGGATGGCCAGCCTTTCAGAGTATCACACCAAATATTATGGAAGAAGGTGCAATGAAAGAAGACTCAGGGATGCAGGATACCCCATATAATGAGGTAAAAGAAATCTGTTGCCATCTGCATTTTGTAATTAATATATATATATATATATATATTTATATACATACACACACACACAAATACAGTGCTGTGAAAATGTATTTGCCCCCTTCCTGATTTTTTTTTGCATATTTGTCACACTTAAATGATTCAGATCATCAAACAAATGTCAATGTTATACAAAGATAACCCAAGTCAACATAAAATACAGTTTTTAAATGATTATTTCATTTATTATAGAAAAAACGTGGTTCAAACCTGCCTGGCTCTATGTGAAAAAGTAATTGCTCCCTAAACCAAATAAGTGGTTGTGCCACCCTTGGCAGCAATAACAGCAATAAAGCATTTGCGATAACCGGCATTGAGTCTTGAACATCTCTGTGCAGGAATTTTGGCCCACTCTTCTTTGCAGAATTGTTTAATTCAGCCACACTGAAAGTTTGTTTAAGGTACCATGCCACAGCATCTCAATCGTATTTGAGTCCAGACTTTGACTAGGCCGCTGTAAAACCTTAAATTTGCATTTGTTGAGCCTGGCAGGTGTTTTGTGGGACATTTGTAAGGCGTTAATACCATTAAGTTCATTATAGACATTTGTGGTGTGGTTTTAACGCTTGTAAAATGCCTCTAAAATGCCTCAAAACCTCTCATAGGGCATTTGTGGAGCATTTTTAATGCTTGTAAAATGCCTGTCTAACGCTATAGGGGCGTTTGGGAAGAAGTCAAGTGTGAATAAGCCCTTACACTCGATGTAACGGGATGCACACCTTCCAAAAAGTTCAACTTTTGTCTCATCAGTCCACAGAAAATTTACCCAAAAGTTTTGGGGGTAATCAAGATGTTTTTTGGCAAATGTGAGACAAGCCTTTGTGTTCTTTTTGGGCAGCAGTGGAGTTTGCTTTGGAACTCTCCCATGGATGCTATTTTTGCCCAGTCTCTTTCTTAATGTTGAATCATGAACACTGACCTTAACTGAGGCAAGTGAGGCCTGCAGTTCTTTAGATGTTTGTTTTAGGTTCTTTTATGACCTCTTGGATGAGTCATCATTGTGCTTTTGGTAGGCCAGCCAATCTTGGGAAGGTTCACCACTGTTCCAAGTTTTCTCCATTTGTTGATAATGGCTCTCCGGTTTGCTGGAGTCCCAAAGCCTTAGAACTGGCTTTGTAACCCTGTATAGACTGATACATGTCAATTACTTTGTTTCTCATCTCTTCTAGAATTTCTTTAGACCGTGGCATGATGTGTGGCTTTTTGAGATCTTTTAGTGTGCTTCACTTTGTCAGATAGCTTCCTTTTAAACAATATATTGACTAAACAGGTCTTTTTAGCCTATGTTTTTAAACAGGTCATTTTAGCCAATTTTTTTTTTATTTAGTTAAGCCCTGCACTCACAGATTTTTTGCCTAGGTGCGGGTGAGGTCCTTCAACCGACTGTAGCTTCCTAGGATACTTTTGTCACAATCCCAAGAGGTTTTGCGGCAATCATGTGCCATAGCACCTTGTCAGGGCACTGGTTGTCTCTTCCTGTTTCTGGCAGTTGATCCACTCTCAACGTGCAACTTCAGGGGGCAGGAGGCAAGAACCAGGAAGTGACAACTGGATACCTAATGATGTAAGAGAGGAAGATGACAAGGTGGGATCTAGTGTGCAGTAGCTGATTGTAATAGAACATGGGCTGGATTCACAGGGCTAGTGAGTATACAAATTAAAGATAACTCAATGAAAAAGATATGTTGGGATTTAAAAAAAAAAAGGAGAATAAACTTCCTCCTTAATTAACCTGCGTCATTAGCAGAAGTATAAGGGAATAGTGCAATCTATGTACCATGCATGAATCACTGTTGCTGTCCCATTGTACCAGATATTACAGGGTTTGGAAAAAGGTTTCAAATCCAGACTGAGGAATGTTGTATTTGTAGGTAATGGGACGGGAGTAAGCTCCAACCCTCTGACAGTTAATAATGTTTTTTTTTTAATCAATAGATTTTTATTGGGTTTTATAAAGGAACAAATGACAAAGGGATAATGTTTTGTAGATTACAGCATAGGTTTACAAAGTTCTGGCCTAACTGAATTAGTGTATAAATGTCACTAATTTAAGTTAACGAAAATTATAGCAATAAATGGCCCACAGCTGTAGATTTTAATTACAATTTTCAATACTTTTTTCTTTGATTGTAAAAATGTTTGACATAACTGGAAAAATAGAGTGGAACACCAATTCTGACTTTCAGCAAGTTGACAGTTTTGAAGCTAAAGCTTGATGTAGGAAAGCAGGAGATAATGAGTACTAATTAACTGAATGTATGTGACAAATGTGTTTTGTTTCTGGATAAATTCATCTCTCTATGGCTATGAGAAACCAAAAACTGTTAGGAAAACTGATATGAGATTAGCCAATGGTGCCATAGCCGACACTGTGGAAACCAGAAGTATAGGTGATATGATATGCTTTCTGTCCATTTGCTCCATGTCCACATACCCCTTAAACCACACAAATTTTGAATACCTTATTAATATTAGAACTGTCAGCCTTTACTGTTGGTTAATGTATTTGATAGCATTTTCAAGCTAAATGCCACTTTATTTATAATCTACCTGGAATACTGTATATTAGTGGCTAATACCATATCTCTTAGTAGAAAATCTGCATGTGTTTATGTCATTACAGAGTACTCTGGTAGAGCAGCTTGACCTGTGCGTTGACTATCTCTGGAAATCTGAAAGATATGAGTTGATTGCTGATGTTAGCAAGCCAGTCATTGCTGTGTTTGAAAAGCAGAGAGACTTCAAGGTAGCTTAATATTTTATTTCTAATATATGATTTCATGACATGTAGTTAGCTAACTTGAAAGCAGAGTACAATTTAACATTGAATAGAAAATATTAGCATGTACTGCTTCTGTGATTGTTGTCTGCTTAGTTTTTCAGAGTCACTGATATCCTAAACAATACTTTTATGCATTCTATAGTAAGAATCTCAACCTCTTTAATGCCAAGTCCAGCAACCAGATCTTTTTGCTATACAAACATTTGGTCACCTGACAGGTCCTTAATCATTGCTGAACAGCAGTGTTGATTTTTACATCAAATTTCTATTTAGTTTTAGTCAGAGTTTTTTGACTAAAATTAAATTTTTGTTTTAGTCGTATTTTAGTCATCTGAATTTTTAGTCTTAGTCACATTTTAGTCATCTAAAATCTCCAGTACATTTTAGTCTACTAAAATATCCTACATTTTAGTTGACTAAGATCTCCAGTACATTTTAGTCGATTAAAATCATTTTAGTTAACTAAAATCTAATGGGTTTAGTTAAATTGTAATGCATTATTTAAGCTTTTTTCTATCATTTCCAAACTCATTATACACTCCTAGGGTAAAACAAATCTAATAACATGTTGTTAGTTATAATATTAAGGTTTGAACAAACTACACAGATACTGATTTAGCCATTATATAACATCTTTATAAGTAAAATGTCCATCCCTCCCATTTTCATTCCATTTTCGTTCATTGGCGGAAATTGGAATTGATTTTCATCATAGCTTTCGTCAATTAGTCAGTAATTTTCATTTCGTTTTCATCAATGGAAACATTTAAAAATAGTGTGTTTTATCCATAACAGACACAAACCCTGGAGCCCCTCACTATGTGTAGGTGAGAAACTTAGGTAACACATATACACCATCAATAATACTGACAGCCAGTACCTGACACATGGTATTATCAAAACTAACAGAAAGATTGTTAAGGGGAATCCAAAGTTTTTTGAAAAAAGGAAGGTTGTATGATTGAATCCTGTGATCTTAGTTTACCAATAAAATCCAAAACTGCTTTATGTTGGAATAGAGCTTTTCATTATTTTCATGTATGATTGAACAATATTTTAAGTCTGCACATGAAATGGTTTGATTAATTTACTTTCAATATTTTGCTTGATCAGCACAGTATACTTTTTTGGGGAAATTGTCACAGTCTCTTGTAAATGTCATGTGGATTTTATAAAGCAGAAATGTGGAACACATACTGACTAATTCATAATTTTTGCTAACTTGATTTCAGAGACTGTCAGAGCTCTATTACCGCATTCACCGATCCTATCTAAAAATTGCAGAGGTGGTAAACGCAGAGAAAAGGCTGTTCGGACGTTATTATCGAGTCGCTTTTTATGGCCAGGTAAATTAAAAGTTTGGGAAATGAATGCATAGTACTACACCATGTTTCAATAAGTGTAGCTTTACCTGGGAGGAACCCTTGATATAATTTTCAGGTATCAGAGAACCTCTGCTAAAATTATTATAGCTACACCTCAAGGTGCAGAAACATGATCAGTGTTAGATATTATAGATAATAAATAAAGGTATATAGAATGGGATTTATTTACTAAATCTTGAGAGTGCAAAATCAGGCTCACTTCTGCATAGAAACTAATCAGCTTCCAGGTTTTATTGCCTTAATTGGGCAAGCTGAGGTTAAAAGCTGATTGGTTTCTATGCAGAAGGGAGCCTGCTTTTGCACTCTCCAACTTTAGTAAATAAACCCCAATGTGTCTTATTTAGTTTATCTGACACTCGGAGATGGTCATTTTTGCTTTATTTTCTGTAAAACTCATGAAACATGTAATATTAATGGTGAAAATAAAACACACGGACAGTGAATACTGTAATGTCATTTTATGGTCAGTGGAGAAATGCCTCCTTATGTTGGTGGTCATTGTAGTGCTCCCTTACATTAGTGGCCAATAGCAAATGTCCTCCTACACTGTTGGTTAATGGAAAGAATTCCCCTTACATTTATGGTTAGTGGAAATAATGCCCCTTGCAGTACACCACTGATGCTTACTGTAAAGAATGCATAGATGGTTAGTGAAAAGAATGTTCTTTACATTGATGGTTGTTGGAAAGAAGGTCCCTTACATTGATGTTTAGTGGGAAGAATGCACCTTACTTTGCTGGTCAGTGAAAAGAATGCACCTTACATTGATGTTCAGTAGGAAAAGGGCACCTTGCATTGATGGTTAGTAGAAGAGAACCCCTTGCATTGGTTAGAAATGGGAAGAATGTCCCTTAACAGACAGATTAAAAGATCGTAGCTGACACTCAAGAGAATAGAGATTCCGCTGGTCCCACACGGCTCGCTCTGCTGAATGACATTGGTGCTGGAACTAAGCAGGTATCTTCAGGTGGGGGATCACTCTGCCATTTCACCCTTGTTAAGGAACCTCTAGATACCTTAGGAGGAACCCTAATAGAGAAAGGCTGGTAAAGAAAGCTTGTATCATAAGGCAAAATTGAGTGCACAGAGTGCAGAAAAACCTGTAGAATTCAAATTCGTCTTTCAGTGGTCTGACTAGATCAAATCATTAGCTATGATTACTGTACTACTATTTGCTCACTGGCTTATTAAAGAAGATCTCATGTGAGTTTATGTGTACATTTCAGTCTGGTTATTGAGCTGGTGTGCCATGGGATAAATCCTGCCTCTATAATTTTAAGAAGTCACCCCTTTGCCAGCTATACAAACAGAATGGTTATAGATTATGGACCACAGCCCAGACTTGTTCATTACACTTTCATGAATATATACCAACAGCTACATTGTTTCCTTTAAAATATTCATGGCAAAATCATGTGACTAGCAGCTCATACATCTTTTACAATATTATATTAATTTTTTTTCTCATTATACATAAATTATCAGCTTATTTTGTTGGAGGTTCAGATGCATATTCGTGTACAGTTATTCTTTGAAGAACATTTAGATACAATTAAATGTATAGCACAGGAGATACAGTATATATTCTCAAATATATCAACTGTCTAAAACAAGTATAACAAATATTACTCAACATACTGCATAAAAAAGAGGGCATTTTCTAAGAGTTTTAAAACAAACAGAATGCTCCATGAATGGCTTTAGCACTCCCTCCCAATCTACACAAGACCCAGATTTTCCCTTTAGTGAAGCACCAACACATTCACTATGTTTTGTAAAAACCAACAAACTATCCTCAGATTATATTAAGACTATTTAAAAGTTGGGAATAAACAGTACAGACAAGTATCTACAAATATTAAGTGTTTTTTTTTATGTAAAAGAGTATCTTAACTCTGTAAGCTGTGCCAAAAAGGTACATACAATAAATGTATAGCACAGGAGATACAGTATATATTCTCAATTATATCAACTGTCCAAAACAAGTATAACAAATATTACTCAACATACTGCATAAAATAGAGGGCATTTTATAAGAGTATTAAAACAAACAGAATGATTCATGAATGGCTTTAGCACTTCCCTCCCAATATACACAAGACCCAGATTTTCCCTTTAGTGTAGCACCAACACATTCACTATGTTTTGTAAAAATCAACAAACTATCCTCACATTATATTAGGACTAGTTAAACGTTGGGAATAAACAGTACAGACAAGTATATACTAATCTTAAGTGTTGTTTTTATGTAAAAGAGTGTCTTAACTCTGTAAGCTGTGCCAAAAAAACAAAAATTTGGACTAGTCTCCTGTATTAGTTGAGGTCTCCCTACAGCTGATATTTTGCCATTAATGACCTTGTCCTGGATTGTGTCTCTGTGTGGAGGTGGCCACCTTGGTAGGGGAACAGAGCTTTGATCCTTCATGTTCGAACCTTCAGCAAGGAGAACAAGGAAGAACACAAAAGTGCAACCATCCAATCTCATATAAATCTTCTGTGAATAGCAGTCACAGGAATTAGTGCCTTATATTCAACACTGTAGATATACAGCTGTAAGTTTTTGTGTTTTTTTACATTTTGGGTACAGTGGGGACAGGTTAGAACCCTAGTCAAGTGTTTATTGTTATCTGTGCCCTACTGAGGATATTCAACCATTTTATTTGTCCTGTTGGCTACTGTCACAAAAATAAAAAATTATGGGAAATCCAAATTTTTGCTGTTGCTCCCTGAACAGAAATAGATGGGAAATCTCCAAATGAGGAATCTTGTTCTGGGGACAACTGTCTAAGAGTTCCCTCATTTTGAAGAGATTTACTCTCACTTCCTGTTTCTCCCTGAAAGGAAGTGAAGGCAAACAATAAGACAAGGGTGTTAGCCCATCCCTACTTTATCCAAAACTGAGAAAAAGATTTGAGTATGCATTCACTTCTGCTTTTGAGTTCAGTTCCATTTTAAAAGTACCTCTACTGCATACAAATGCTGGGAGAGCAGGGAAGGAAGACACTTTTCTTCCCATGATGAAAATTTTTTGTATATTTTGAAAGTGTTGTGTTTAATATTTACCTTTGTTTATGTACCTCCATATTGCGTGCTTATTACATTAGCAAAGGCAGCACAGCAATCTGTAAAACAGCTACGTACCACAGTCTCTTCTGTTCAGAGCACTTTTGCAAGTAATACAATCTATTACACAATCCACAACAGCTTACTGGACAGGATGTGACACTTTTTTTATTATGATAGATAGTGCTTAATTGGCACAGGAGGTTGGTACAGGGCTTAAGATCATAAATTCCCAAAATATTCATAAATAATTGAAAAAAAAGTCTTCCCTACCCACCTCATCTGCAGAATATTGTTTTCTCTGAGGCTATAGGAGCACTTTAAATCTCTCTTTTAGTTCCAATAAACCAATGCCACAATACAGCAATGCTTACTGCTAAGTCGTGGTGCTCCCTAAAATAAATATAAATACATTTTTGCTGTATTCTGATGTGTTTTTTTTTTACATTTGCTCCTGGCCAATGGATCTCAAGGCCTGTATGGTAAATACATCCTTGCATATCCACTGTATGCTAGTACTTCAATTTAAAACTGCTGAATTTCACACACAAGGTAAAGTAAAGCAGGATAAAAATCAAATCCACATATTCTGGAACTGGTGAAGGAAGGTAAATATAGGCAATTTCCCAAGACACATAGTAAAAGGTGAAAATAAAGCAGATTTTCTGCTCTAGCTCATCTGTAGAAAGGAAATATCTGGCTTGTTGAGAACAAATGAAATGTGGCATATTTAATCCCCAAAAGGGAGAGCAGAGCTGTTTTCATACATTACTGCTCCCAGGTATCAGCATTAAAGATTGTCAGTGGCCAAGTTTTAGTCAATCATGGACTTAGGCTGACTGTCAGAGAAGCGAGTGGATTTCTTGGCCATCTAGACATTCTTGAATTCTGAACTAGGGATGGAAGAAACTGTTATGACTTTTACAATCCCTCTAATATACCGATTCAATCTTAATGCATGCATTTGCTCTTTTTTTTCCGTCTGATCCTATTGAAGGCTGTGGTAAGTGGCTTATTTCTGCTTGTCTCTTTCTTTACTACTCAGTCAGTGGCAGCTGTTCTTCCATAATGTCTTGCATCTAATTTATAAATATGAGCTAAAAATGTTCATTTGTCTCTTTGAGAGTGTTGTCATTCATTCTGTTCACATAACTGCTTAACAGCTTGTAGGGTGAAGCATCACTGTTTACTTTACGCTGTGTCATTATATAGAAAACCAAGGGAATATGCATTGGCTTGAGTAGAATTTTATGCCATGGAGGTTACATCTTGAATTAGCTAACAGACTGTATTTCTTATAATACAAAATTGCCAATATTTGCATCAGAACAAGTCAGTAGCTTAAGCAAGTGTCAGCATTTCTGTAATGTAGGGGGGGTCACTGCCTGACTATCTTGTGAGCCCCTCTCTTCAGAAAAGTGATACAACAGAGCCAGCACACTGGTGGCAGAGCTTTATTTTAGCACGTCATGAAGTGTGTTCTTATACTGTATTAACTTTTCCTAATACATTTATAGTATACAAATTAAAATTTACTTATAACAAGCTCTGAATATTTTAGATGTACAAAACAAGAATGAAAAGAAAAGGTGATATACACTGTGAATCCGTGGGTGGAACAGTAGGAGACATCCATTCCAAGTGGGGCAGACCATTTGGGCTACGCAGAGCCCATATATCACAGAAAAAACTTTGACAGTAGTACCTACTTACAGATAATGCACAACACACATACAACCATACATACCAATGCAACCACCCCTCCTATAATAACCAGGAGAGCCATCAGGCCTGTATCCATGCCACCAGTGGATCAAGAGTTATGGTAGTACTTATAAACAGGTTACAAGTCCAATATATCAAGCCAGGACTGAAAAACATTTGGAAATTTTTTGGAG